AATTTTTAAATTTAATTCAAATGATCAGATTAATTCAAATTGATCAGATTTTAGATCAAAATCCTAAAAATCACATAGAAGTATTACATGAAATTAAACAAACCTATTGATTCTAATAATAATCTAATATTTATTTAAACTCAATTATTGATAATATATTTCCTAATTCTAAACAAAAAAAAATTCTATTGCATTTGGGATGGCTATAGTTTTAAATTATCTAGATCTTATAAAAGATGTGAAGTTAATTCAAGTGAAATTGTAAAATAAATAAATGTTTTTTTTGAAATGATGCAAGTTATATATTATGAGAAGTAGTAATAATTACATATCTAAAATATCATATGATGTAATAGTATTAATTACACAAATATAAAATGTATATAATAAATATTATCACTTTATTTATATTTAATTATGTATTATAAATAAGTACAATTAAATAATAAATATTAAGTATTTAAATTGAATAATTTAATTATATTAAATTTAAATATTATATTAATATATATATTAATATAACAGTAATTAAATGCTAAAACTTGTCAAATATAAAGTCTATTAAAACTTAGTAAATAAGCATTTAAAAAAGTAATTTTAAAATAATTTGCAAATATTTAGCAAGTACTTGAATATACTTTGTGATGTATCTTAATTTCTAATTATTGATAAATAATGTATTATAGCTTATTAGATTTATCTTGATATGATAAATCAAATAATAATTATTTTGTTTCAAATAAATTAATATTAATAAAGTTATGAATCAATTTGTATTTATATATTAATCTATAATATGTGTTCTAAAATTTTATATAATAAAATTAAATGAGCTATATTTTAATAATTAGTGATCCAAAAATTAATAAATTATAGTTTATTCAATTCATCTCTGAGAAAAATCAAATAATACTTATTTCATCTTAAACAACTCAATATTGACAAAGATATTAAATTTTGAATTTTTTAATTAAAAAATTCAGATCAGATTAAGTTAGATCAGTATTAGCAAATGATCTTAAAATAATCTTAAATAACCTTAAATAATATTATTTTATTATAAATTTCAAGTTAAAATGATTAAAAGTTATTTAAAAAATAGTAAATAATCTTATAATTTATTATCACTAGATTAGACATCCTATCTAATCTAATTTGAATTTTTCAGGTTAATTTGTCAGATCAGATTTAGGACTCTATATAAGTATTTTTAGAATTTCGGATGAGTCAAGTTAACTTATGAGTCAGATAAGCTGAGTTAAATTTAAATCAAGTCAAATTTATATTTTTTTGACTTGATGATTTGTGAGTTAAGCTAAATTCAAGTCAAGTTAAATATTTAATTCAACTTAATTTAAACTCGACTTGATTCAAGTTGATTTGAGTTGACTTGAGTTGACTTGAAATAGTATTATTTTTAGAGATATTAAAATCCAGTCCAGTTCTAGTCTGATCTTGAAACTTCCAATCTATAAGACTTGGATCCTAGGATTGGATTCTAGGACTAGGTTCTAAAACTGCAGTTATAGGACTGCAGTTCTATAGAAAAATAATCGTTCAAGAAGAATGATAAGAAATCGTTTGACTTGAATAATAAAAAAATCATTTAAAAAGAACAATGAGAAATCGTTCGACTTGAATGATAAAAAAATCATTCAAGAAGAATGATGAAAAATCATTTGATTTGAATGATAAAAAAATCGTTTAAAAAGAATGATAAGAAATCGTTCGACTTGAATGATAAAAAAATCATTTAAGAAGAACGATGAGAAATCGTTTGACTTGAACGATAAAAAAAGTCATTTAAGAAGAATGATAAGAAATCGTTTGACTTGAATGATAAAAAAAATCAAATCATTCAAGAAGAATAATGATGAATTGTTCAACTTAAACAATAAAAAAATTGTTCAAGAAGAACAATGAGAAATTGTTCAACTTGAACAATAAAAAAAATTATTCAAGAAGAATGATGACCTGAATCGTTCAACTTGAACGATAAAAAAAATCGTTCAAGAAGAATGATGACCTGAATCATTCAACTTGAATAATAAAAAAATCATTCAAGAAGAACGATGATGAATCGTTTAACTTGAATGATAAAAAAATCGTTCAAAAAGAATGATGATGAATCGTTTGACTTGAATGATAACAAAATCGTTCAAGAAGAACAATGATGAATCGTTTGACTTGAATGATAAAAAAAATTATTCAAAAAGAACGATGATAAATTGTTTGACTTAAACAATAAAAAATTATTCAAGAATGATGACGAATTGTTCAACTTGAATGATAAAAATAATTGTTCAAAAACGATGACAAATTATTCGACTTGAACGATAAAAAAATCGTTTAAAAAGAATGATGATAAATCATTCGCTCCCTTTTCTCCCCTGATCTTTTCATTTTTTTTTATTATTTTTTTTAATTTTTTTTTGATTTCGTTCTATCGAGTTAAAATCGAGTCAAGTCAAGTTGAATCGAGTTTAAAATTTATATAACTCAAATCAAATCAAATTGAAATATTTTATAAAATAAATTTGACTCAACTTAATTCAAAAAAAAGAGTCAAATAGAGTTGATCTTTAAACTCGATTTAATTTGATTCATTTAGAACTCTAAGTATTTTTAAATAATATTGATTTAATGTTTTATCACATTTTTTTCAAATGAAAAGTAAGTAATTTTAAACTTAATTAAAAATAATTAAATAATTGTAAAGAAATCAAGTATTTTTCAATAATCATTAATTTTTTTGCATATAGAATCTGCTATAATAGATTCTTCTAATATGTAATTATTAATATATCTCTTAATATATCAAAGAATTTTTGTAAAAATTAATCTTATATCACTAATAATTGAATACAAACTTAAAGAAAGAATTTTTGTTACTTTATATATTAGTTTTTATAATATAATTATTGACTGTATTTGATTCTATTCATTTTATTAAAATAAAAGATTTTTAACTATTATTATTACAAATAAGAAAATCAAAATTCTTCATATATTCATTTAAACTAATATTAAAAATATGCTATTATATTATGTAATAATATCAAAAATCAAGTATGAGATAATCCTTTTTTATTACCTTATAATAATTGTGAAATGCATCAAAAAGAATAATAGAATAATGAATTTTATTTATAAATATTCTAACTAAGATTACTTGTCTAAACTTATATTGAATTTTACAAAATGTCTAAACTTTATAATAAAATTATGTTAAAATAGAGTATGAAAAAAGAAAATTTTTCTCAAAAAGAGAATTATAAATAATAATATTTATTTTTATTTTGCAAAGTTACTAACAATATTTGTAATTTGATTTTACTAATCTTAATATTCAATAATACAATTTTCTAAGTACTAACAGATTTCCAAATACATTCTTACTTTTCTTTTCTGTTATTTAAATTTCATTTTCTTTATAAATCTCATCATTAGGCTTTTTGGAATCAATCACTAAAAGAAAGATATGCTCTCTAATATTTTTACATTTATTATATTCCTTTATTATAAAGTCTTTCTCTAATATAATTGCTGAATAACCCTTAATTATTTTTATGACTAACTATAATTACTTATCTTAAATGAGAATAAATAGTTCTGTAATCAAGAATGAGTTTACAAATTTTGCATTCTGTATATTGTGAAGTAGATAAATGCAATTCATGATATTGGCATTTTACTTTTTTACAATATTGATATGCCATTTAATATAAGTTTTTAACTCATTTAATTGTCTTTTTCACAGTTCACAAACTTCAAATAAGTTGAAATATTTGAAAGGCCATTCAGAATATTGTCAAAGCTTGAAAGTGATTTACGAAATATGTCTAATTGTTTACTAATAAATAGATTAAAAATATTTATGATATCTTCATAAGTTAAAATAGCTTAAATTGCTAATATGTGCAATGAAAATGAGAAAAATAATGTAAATTTAATATAGTTAAATGCATTATTATGAGAAAATCATTGTTACAAAAAAATACCTTGTATAATATATCATGAAGGACCTGTTAATGCAAAAAATAAGATCAAACTAAATCGATATTTTATTATTGCAAATTTCTTGTTTAAGAGATAAAAAATTGGAAGACACTTACTAGTTGTAACAAGTAATAAGACTAAATGATAAATATATCTATTGAATGACAAGATATTAAAATAGAAAAATAAAATTATATAATAAATTAAAATATTAAAAATAATGTAAGGATAAAAAATGCATATTTAAAATAAATAGAAGATAAATAGATATTAAGAAATAAATATTCTGACAAAGCAAAAAAAAAATAAATAAAAAAAATAGTCTATATTGTAACTAACATATCAAATAAATAAATGAAATAGATTAAATAAAAAATAATTTTTTGTAAATTTTTTTATATAATTTCTTTTTTATTTAATGTCTCTTGATACAATTCCTCTTTTCTATCTTTTTCTTTTCTTCTTTTAACTTATCTATTTTATTTTCATCTTTCTTTTAATTCATCATCTATATATTTTTATTATCCAACTTCTCTTTCAATTTGTTTAATATTACTTCTTTGTATTTCTTTTTCTCTCATTCCTTCAAATCCTTTTTTATCTTTTCATACTTTTTTTTTAATTTTTTTAATTCTTTTAAAACTTATCATTTCGTAAAATTAAAAATCAATTTATAATATAATTCATTCTTTCTAAAATGAATATTTTTATAGTGAAGAACTTACTATAATGAAGAAAAGTTAAGATACAAATTATTTTATAATTAATAATACTTAACATAGTGAATTTAATTATAAGATTTCTGTATCTCATAACTCAAATTTTCATGATAGAACAAGTATAATAAAATGATCCTTGATATAGTAAAGATTTTGTTATACTGAATTTTTTAAATGTAGCACAAATAATTAACGAATGTTAATCATTTGAAATTAATAAAATCAATTCAAATTTGTCTTTAGAGGTAGAATTTTGATCAATTCTTTTTTTTACATGCCATTATGCCTAAAAATTTTCAAGTAAAAGGCAAAGGTAAAATAATTTAAAATAATACTTTGCCAAAAAAATATCTTTAACTCTTGCTTAAAAACATAAAATATGTCTTAGAAAAATTACTGAACCTTCTATAAAAAATAAAGAACTAGCAGTAATATATAATATTAGTGAAAGATGTATTAGTGATATATTAAAAAAATCATAAAAATGGCTTAAAATTGATCCTTAAACACTTGAAGCTCAAGGTAAAAGAAGAATTAAAGTGATTTTTTTAGAAATTAAAGAAGCTTTTACATTATATGTATTAAAGGCCTTAGAAAATGATGTTGATATCAATAATCAAGTTTACATAAAAAAGTTATAGTATTTACTACTGTAATAGGACTATTATAACGTAATTAATCTACATAATACATATAAATAGTTATCTAAATGACACAGTTAATATGATTGACTTAATAGATATATTTAATTTATGTAGCATAAGAAATGCAGATCAAAATGTCAAACATGTCAAACATATTTAGTATATCTAATATGTTAGATATATCTAATATATTTAATATATCTGATATACTTGATATCTCAGACATATCTAATATATATGATATATTAGATTTACAGAAAAAGTATATAAAAAGGACTAAATTCTTGATAAGAAAGTAACTATCAATTGCTAGATGCAATCTGATCAGTTTAGCGATAACTATGTGTAACCTTCTTTTGTAAAGATAACGCAAGGCTACTTGTGATTAATTTTTCTTTTGTATTTCCTTATTTTTAGCTTTTAGTTTATTTATTTACCAATAAATCTTTATTCAATTTACCTAAGATATTTTGTGATACTTTTTATTAGTTATATTTCACATTTATTTTTAACTTAACGTATGAAAATATACTCAATAGTGTATTGAATATACTTGGCAGTATATAGTAGATAATCATAAATTTATCGTAAATTTAAATATATTTTTCAATATATAACAGAACCTAATTAACTGAGATGTGAATATATTTTAAACAGTATATAAAAGAACTATTAACTTACTGAGATAACTATTATATTACTATGTAAACTTAAAAAAATCACCACTTGAACACTTCGTTTAACAGTCGCAATTCAACAGGATTGCACATTAATACTACTCTATTTAAAATTGAAAATTTTAAAAAGGATAATGATTGAATTAGCGGTTTAAAAAAAGATATAATCTTTCTTGTTATTTAAATAAGGAGAAGATACAAATGCACTCCTTGATCAACTTAATGAATTCAGAAAAAAACTTTAAGATTTGATTTGTGATTATAGTCTTAAAGATATTTTCAATTATAATGAAACTGATTTGTATTAGAAAATGAAATCCAAAAGAATGATCTCTAATAAATCTATAACTGGACAAAAACAGTTAAAAGAACGTGTGATTATTCTTTTTTATTCTAATATAACTAGTACAAAAAAACTTAAATCAGTATTTATTCACAAATATAAAAATTCTCGTCTTCTAAAAAATTTATCTAAAATATGTTTATCAGTAAAATATTATTAGAATTCAATAGCTTAAATGCATGTTTCTATCTGAAATGATTGGATTCGTCAACTTGATGTAGAAATAAAACTAAAAAGAAGAAATATTTTTTCACTTGTAAATAATATACCTGTTCATGCTTTATATGAAGATGTGAAATTAACTACTTTAAAAATTGAATTTTTACCTTCTAATACCACCATGCACCTTCAACTATATGATAAAAATATTATAAATAACTTTAAGATAATAAAATTCAAACTAATTTTGATAATTAAAAATTTTAATTTAACTTACAATATTTGCATTTTGTAGACGTAATATCAAAAATTACTTCTTAAAAATCGTATTAAGGTCTTTGACTATCAACAAGAAACTGGTCATAATAAATCACCAATTAATATCAAAAAAGCTATCAAATATGTAGCTTTAGCCTGAAATAAAATTCTTTCTCAAACTATATTTAACTGCTGGAATAAAACAGGAATTTTACCAAATAATATAAATCTTGATGATGAAATAGAAGATGATGAGTGTAAAGAAATAAACATGAATAAGCATAGAGAATTCAAGATCTAATCAATAAACTTGAGTATACACATCCTCTTACTGCTAAAGAATACATTATATTAGATCAGAAAAATGAAAATTTTGGCATACCATTATCTGAAGAACAGATTGTTGCCATGCTCAAAGAAAACAATACTATTTCTAGTGATGAAGGCAAGAAGATTATTATTTCAGTAACTAGTTCCGAGGCTCTAGGTGCATTTGATACAATTTTTGACTATTTAGAACAAGATGATAATCAAGATATTATTGATAAAATACATTTAAAGCAATGAAAAATGTTAGAAAATAAGTTTATAGAAATCATTTTTTTTCCAAAAAGCAAACGAACTTAGATTTATTTGTTGGAGGCGAAAACAGTAATCTCAAATCAAGCGATACTTATAGTGATCTAGTGTGTTAATATGAACAGAGAAGGTGTTAATAATAATATTATAGATATAGAAAATAATAATTTTGGAGTTTCGAATTTTAATAAGTTTTGTTTTCACGATTGTCAAGGTTTTATTGAATACCAAAAATAATATATGGCAAGTCGGCAATGTGGTCATAGGTAATAGCATTACTGATTCATATGTACAGATTTACAAATATAATAAAGGAACATTTGTTGAAAGTTTTCTTGTTTTTGTTAATTGATGCGCAACATTAAATTTTTAAAATAATTAGCATACATATATGTCTCGTGATATTTCAGTATAGCGAAAATCTTATCTTTATTCGCTATATACCGTTAACGAATTCCCTTACTATAGCGAAGCACGACCTTCGGTACACAAGATTCGTTATAGAAAGGGTGAACTGTACGTTGATCGTGCGTAGATCAGCTATATAAATTTGGGCATTTAAAGAAAAAAAAAAAGAAAAAAAAGAAAACCAAATTTGATAATTCTAAGATATCCGTTTGTTTATAAATGGTATTAATAAAATAAAGTTAAATTATACAAATAAAATTTTTGGTACTCCTGAAATTTGTTTTATTGAAAGATGAATTACCTATTATAGTAAATATAGTAAAACTTCGGATGATCATTTCAAAAAAAATATATATACGGTGATTTACTATCTTTTTAGATGATGTCTGTTGACTGTTGATTTAATTATATATATATATGTATTATGGCTGCTAACCAACTAAAAGATCTTGCCGAGAGATCCCGTAAAGTTGCAAATGCCATTATAAAACAAGATATACCACCAATTGAACGAAACTTGGAACAAATTGAAAAACAATCGCGTAAACTTGCAGATAAAGTTATAAAACCTGGAGAGGAGCCTGAAAGAAAAGCGTAATTATTAAATTTGATTTGATTAAAGCAATTATTTTATCATCGATATCTTTAAAAATTATGAATTTTGTTTCTTTATTGTAATATTAATTGAAAAATAATGGGCTGTTCCCGTCATTCTGAATCATATGTTCTGATGTGTTTCTAGACCTTATTTCTTAGCAAATATTGGAATTGATGGAGATAGATTATCACAAGAAGTTAAAAGTATAAACGTATTGGGTGCTTTCGAGCCACGAGAACTTTTGCCAGATACAGATGTTGAGGTAATTTAAAACTTTTTTTGTTTCTAAAATTTATTTTTTATTATTTTTTATCTTTTTTATATCCTAAATTTGTTAATATTTAGAAATTTATTGAACATAAACATCAACAAACGATCTCTAGTATTATCAAAGATGGTCATACACAGGTTGGAAAATTTTTTAATTGAATCGAAAATATTTGGTTTATAGTAAAAACTTTATAATGTTTTAATTATAAATTACCAATATTCAGACCATAAACGATTATAACTCCTATTTCGATCGATGTCTTATCCACGATTGGGATAGGACCAAAAGAAGAGTGTTTGAAGAACTCGGTCAGCATATTCCGACTAGTACTTCTAGTGATTCTGATTTATTTTCTACACCAGGAAGTAGTCGTTCTAGATTTCAAACTCCATTAAGAGGGACAACTACCTCAGGAAGTTTTATTGGATCTTCAACTCCGGTCGGTTCCATATTCCACTTTAAAGAATTTATTGTACTACTTTAATACCACACTCACTTTTTCCGTTTTTAGAGATCATCTTACGTAACTGCGGGAGAAAGAAAAGTAACATTTAGAAGTGAATCAACTTTACCTTTAAATCAGAGACATCTGGTTTATTTTGATGTTGTATCTAAATTGAACCATTATAGGTTATCAAAGTTGGAGTATGGTGTTATAAATGAATTTACAAATGCCGCAAAAAAAATAAATGTTGAATATGTGAGTGTCATTTATCAGGATATTAAAAGCTAAAGATTGGCCTCTTATTTAAATTTATTTCTCTTATAATCTCTTTAGGTGAAGAAATTAGTTCAATGTTGGCAGAGTCTAGTGTCCATTATTGGTGAAAACAATGTTATAGAAGGACGTTTTACCCGTAATCCTTTGAAAGAGCGTCATTATGCTAGAGCATATATGGCACCTGTTTCAAGTCCGGAAAATAAAGAGCTCTACAAGACTTTATTAAACGGGGCCAAACGTTATTTGGAAGAATCGTATCCTTTTTTTATGGCATTTTAACAATTATACAAACATGGATGGATAATATTTATTTCTATCCTTAAACCTTTGTTTGAATAAAAGATATCGTAGTTATTCATCAGATTATGTAAATTCGTTCCGTAATGAAGCTTTATTAGGCGGCCAGCCTTCTGTTAGTAATACGGCTCGTGCTATTTTACGTGCTATCCACAGGCCTAATGGAGGAATTCCAATAGATAACTTACAGGTAATCTTTTTTTTTAAAAAAAAAAAATAATTTTCAACTTTTTTAATTCGTGTAATAATTTCGTTATTTATTTTGATTCTAAAAGATGGCAGATAATATTCCAATATGGGGTCATATTTATATTCTGCTTCGTCAAGGTCACTACCAGGACGCTTTACAAGTTGCGCAGAGTTATAAGAATAATTTTTCAAAACAAGATCAGACATTTATCACATACTTTACGAAATTTATAACCAATAATAATAGGTATCTTTTACGAATGATCTCAACAAGGTTGAATTTATGATTGGACAATTAATTTTATATTATTATAATATCAGTCTTCCTTTAGATGACCGACAGAAATTGGTGACAGAAATTAAACAATGGCCGCCTCTTCCTCAGTTATATGACCCTTATAAATGCTTATTATATCAAATTGTTGCTCAGATGGAAGAATTACCCCAAAAGCCACAAACAGGAAACATCAGTCCTACATTCGAAGATTTTATGTGGCAACATGTAATTATTATTTTCATTTAATAGATTATTTAAGGGTTTCCTTTTTAAATCACGTGTATTGATCTGTTAACTTCAATATGTTTTATTTACAGCTAATGTGTGTCCGCGAAATAAATATTGAGAGTGAACCGGTTTCGGGTATCCTTTCACTTGAAAGATTTCAAAAAAAGGTTCGGGACCTAGGCCCTGCTCATTTCAATCATAATGGAAAAGACCCTATACAATATTTCCGTGTTTTATTGTTAACTCTTCAGTTTGAAAGGGTAATTTATAGTTTTTTTTCTTTTGCTTTTTTTAAGTGCATTTATGTTAAGATATAAGAAGTAGAGAAACAAACTATTTTTTCTTTTTGAAATAAAAAATTTTTTTTTATTTCTTACATAGGCGATATTTTACCTGTTTCATGAGTATACCGAGGATGCTGTACATTTTGCTATAGCACTTGCATATTACGGACTGCTTAGAGTACCAGATTCTGCAGAAGCAATGGCATTAAGTACATAATTCAAACCTGATCAGTTTCGATAAAGAAACTTGTTTTGATTATTTCATTTTTCTCACCTTATTCACTTGTTCATTGTAATTGAGTTGGATCATCAAGAAGAATTTTCGATTTCGGATCAACTCAATCTAATGAACAAAGGAATTTGATTAAGGACTGACATTTTTTGGATTGCATTTTATCAATTTTATCAATAGTTGTTGATGAAGAAGAATCCCGTCCAAAGCTTAATTTCAACACAATCATATATCAATATGTTCGTATGTTAGCCAATGATAACGCCCCCAACACAGCATTTCAATACCTTATTTTACTTTATTTGTATGGAAGACGCGATTCGGACAGCGGTCTACATCAGATTGAGATGTGTCATTATTATGTTAGACAACTTGTATATGACACCGAAGCTTTCGCAGAACTAGTTGGAGACGTTCGTAACAGGGAGGTTCGTGTTTGCATATCAATTACGACTTTACATCATGATATCAAAAAAAAATTTAATGTATTATTTCAAATTAGGGTCAGATAAAAAAATATATGTCTTTAATGTATATTGATAATGAAAAAGAGTTCAACGAGATTATAGTTAGCGCTCTTGCCCGCCAGTGTGTTGAAGACGGAAAATTTAAAGCAGCTCAAAGTCTTTATGAATTAACTGAGGTAAATTAAATCATATATGCTCCAAAATAGTTTAGGTAATAAAAACTAATGTGCTGTTGCGGGGTTTTTTTTTCTTGTAGAGCTACGAGGAAATTATCTTATTACTTAATAAGATGCTTGCAGAGTACATATGGGTTTCCGTCCGAGGTGTAACAATGCAGCCCGAAACAGCACAAGAATTTAACCCTCAGGAAATTAAAAAAGTATTACATGAATATAAAACAAATCAAATCACAATGAGTTTACCAGTTGACCGTATACAGACGTGTGAAAAACTACTCGGCCTGGTTGATTTTATAGAAATGTACAAAATGCAGAATTACGAGAATGCTCTTAATGTAATCCCCTTTGATAACTACAAGTTTGTCATGTTACCAATATATCTTGTGCTTATAAACACATTTATATTATTTTATTTTATTAGATTATACAAAGTATCGACATCTTTTCCTTTGAAAAAGACATCACCATAATTAAACAAAAGGCTGCTGCAATAGAAGTGTTCGATGATCAATTGAAGAAATGTCTGGAAGAGCTTTTGCTTATCACAATGCGTTGTTTGCATTCGCGTTACCAACAATTAAAAGATCAAACATCGCGTTGGTCTCCGGGTCCTTCCAATAAATATATGGAAGTAAGTTACTCCCTCTTTTTATAATAGTTTTCATATAATTTCGAGTTAATTTATTTTTTATTCCAGGATACGAGCGTCCTTAGTGAAAAGGCTAAAAATTTGGTCACATTCGCGGGATATATAAAACATAGGTAATCCTTTTTTTTTATGGTCTAAAAGTTATAATGTTTTGCAACTGTTAAATAACGACATTCGTTGCTTTAATTACACAGTGTACTGTCAACCGATATTTTTCAAAAATTGAACGAGTTAGAAGTTTCAATGAGATGATATATACAAAAAAAAAAAAAAAAAATTTTTTTTTTATAGGCATTAATAAAAAATTTAGTGAGGTTTACATACATACATGTATATAGATTTCCTTTTTAATGAACTTAATATCATTCGATTCAATATATCTTTTATTATTTTGTATTGATTTTATAATATTAAATTCAGGTAATTTAATTATTGATTTTTTTTTTTTAAAAAAAAAAAAAAATATCACCGGTTATTTATTCTCATGATAATAAGTCGTATTTCTCATTTTAAATAATAGATAATAAATTCTTTTCAATAATTTGTCGCAGATATTAATTCATCAACCTTTCTAAATAAGCATTCCATCCCGCATTCTTATACCGTAAAGCCTCTTCAATAACATCTTTACCACTTTCATAAATTCCACGACCCACGATGATAATATCACTGTTACTTTCCAATATAACATTTCTTGGAGTTCTGTACTGTTGACCTAATCCATCTTTTGAAGAATCAAGTCCAACTCCGGGACTCATGACTATAAAATCTTCATTTTCATTACTAACTAATTTTCGTCCAGCAATAAATCCAATAACAAAATCTCGATGTCTACGAGCCATTTCTACTGCAGCTTCTGTATATGCGCCAGTTGCCAAACTACCTTTAGAAGACATTTCCGCAAGCAACAACAACCCACGACCCAAGGGCAATCCCACTTCTTTTAATCCGGAAACTATTCCATCTCCCGGTAAAGGATGTGCATTCGTAATATTTGCCCATTCCGCAATCTTGTAAATGCCCTTAGAATATTGATGTTTAACAGTATTTCCTATTCGTTGTTTATGAAATTTAAAGGATGCGAAAGTATTTATTGCCTGAACTAGTAAAATGAAGGAAAACAATAAGCACGGACCGCACCAATGTCAGCGAATTTCCTATCTTCAAATATCATAAAATCGTGTTTATTTTGCAACTTTTTGAGTTGCTCAATAAAGTCTTGATCAAAATCTACCAAAATGTCTATATGAGTCTTATGAAAAATAGTATTTACAAATTAGCTCACTTTTTTTCCCCCCTCTAGTTTGTGCTAATTAAAACCTACTTTTAACAAACAAATATATGGTCCAACTTTATCAGCTATTTCAAGAAACTCTCGTTTTGTATTTACATCAAGAGCGAGAGAGAGATTGGTTTTTTTACGTTCCATAAGTGTGAGAAGCTCACGAGCTGCTATATTAGTAAAATTTTCAATTCGTTCGCCATATGTCTTCTTTGAATTGAAAGCCATAGTAGGAAAAAAAATCATCTGGAAATGTTAAATAAACGTGATTATTTGTTTTATATGTAAATTTTAACTACATTTGTTCTATTTGTATACATCATTAAATCTATTTACAGTTAGAATTTCCAAGAAATCGGATTAATATCAATATCGGGATTATCTGTCATATTTATATGTGGGGCGTCATTCATACTTGTTCTTCATTTCGTAGAATTTCTTCGTTATTGTGATATTTAAATATTTATCTTCCAAGCACATGGATTATCCAGGAAAGGTTAAGTTACCTCCTCGTCCGAACACTAGTACATCTTGCAATAGTTTTAGTAATAGTTCTTCGCCAAGTTATAGTTTAGCGGATCCTAGTGGTGGTGGACTTAGCATCACAAATGGGGTTAACGGTGGCGGGTTTCCACCATCGCTCTCGAACGTAAACATGGTTCGTTTAAAATTAATTTGCTTGTTCCTTAGAAGAAAAATTACGTATTAAACTTATATTTTATATCTTATAGAGATTTGGAAACTGTATGTGCTGCAATAGGTAAATCGATCTTGAAATGACTTTTTTTTTAGAAATTTGTTCTATCTACATATAATATAGCAGAAATAATTAATTTGCTTTTCTTTTTAATACAGTACCTTGCGATTTCCAATCTCAGTATCATGCTTTCGATGTACCGTTTGTCAAACCATCAACGACTTGAAGCCTTCCAAACAAAGTATACAAAGACGTATGTAAAATATCAATTAATTATCAGGCGAGCAAAAAATTAATGTATTTTAATTTGTTTTGCTTCTCATGATTATATAATAATATCCAATTAATTGATCTGGTTTTCCTTTTTTTTTTTTATCATTTACTCATAAAGCGGAACCTATTATTCCGTTAACGTTAGATAGGGTACGGTCAATTATTAATACCTGTCAAATTAATAGTAATGGAATACGGCCTCCAAGCTTTGACATGTTAGAGCTAGAAATACAAAGAACTTTCTCTAATTGGTATATTTTGAATGAAAGTTTTAGCAATGTAAGGGGTAATTTTGTTTATATATTTACCATTTATTTTTTTTTTATTATACCTTTTCTTTTTTCAAGTATATGCTATCATTAAATTTTGTTAACATGAAATTTATAATGATTAAAAGGGTCGTCAAGTCACATTGGAAGATTGTGGTGTCGCTTTGGATCAAGTTAGAGAAACGTACAAAATTATGTTAGAATTGGTAAGTTAATATTAATCTAGTAACCGTTGTTGTTTGTATCTTTAATGATTCAATAACTAGAAAATTGATCATTTACAGCCCGTAAGTGTTATAAGATCAATGATGAAATCAGTTGAGAATATATTGAAACGTCCTGGAAGGTAAAAATTTATGAAAAAAAATTTTTTTTTTCCTTTTAAATATTATGTTATTAATTAATTTATTGCATTGAAAAGAATGTTAAAACGTCGAGAGGACATAAAATTTTTAATGATAATTCTCGAAGTTCGTATTTAAATTTAACTCTTTGATATAACTGTTTTATAATGAAATTTAATAATTTCTCATTTATTAGAACCCGCTTCTTGCACAACATAATTTCCCTCAAGAATCCCAGTATCATCATAATATTGTAAAAAGGATATTTGGATTGCTCTCTAATTTAAGCAATGAACTTCATCATTACTTAGTTAACTGGTTCACACGGTTAGTTTCAAAAAAAAAAAAATTTTTTAAAAAATGATTAACGAATAATTTTGTCTTTTCAGATTATCTACTACAATCTTTCGAAAACGTGTAGAATTAGTTAATTCTTTTATTACTTTTCGATTATCCAAGTTATCCAAGCAACGCAATAAGACGAGTCCCGAAGATTACGAATCGGACTGGAGAATTAGTTCTGCGGCACGAGTTATGGCTTTGTTGTGTATGTATTTAATGGAAATTTTGAAATTATCATTAACATCATTAAAATTAACCTTTTTTTTATATAACTAGTTGCAGCGAATAAACAGCAAATTAAAGTTCCATTATCAGATTTTTATAATACCATGGTGGATTACATCGAATTAATAGAAGATTTTGACAGATGGGAACAGCGGCAAGGGTTAGTAAAATGTTAAAAAGTTTAGCTTCTTTGATGAAACTTCACAATATTGGCCACGTATTCATCATTCTCGCTTCTTATTTATATAGAAAATTTGCATTCTGTCAGTATCCATTCTTAATAAGTATGGGAGGAAAGATGAACATTATGGAATTCGACGCAAAACGACAAATGGAAACGAAAGCAAAAGTACATTTTTTTTTCTTTTCTCTTTTTTTTTTACCGACTTGACTTTATGGAAAGAAATAAGATTGAATGTATTTATGAAAATTTCTTTATAGGAAGCTTTCTTTACGATACTTTTTCAAAGACGCGTCACGACAACAGTTTTGATATTAAAGATTAGGAGAGACTACTTAATTGAGGACTCATTGAGACAAATTTCAGCTAATGAAATGGATCTGAAAAAATCATTGAGGATAGAATTTGTTGGCGAAGATGGTGTTGATGGTGGTGGTCTTAGAAAAGAGTGGTTTTTATTGTTAGTACGACATTTATTTGATCCACAGTTTGGTGAGTGCAATAGAATAACTCTCTGTTTTTCAATAATTTGTCTTAAAAATACATATTTTTTATAAATTAATTTTTTTGACATTACTATTTTCAAGGCATGTTCACATGGGATGAGGATTCTAAGTTATGCTGGTTCAATCCTGCAAGTTTTGAAACAAGTGATCAATATTATTTAGTTGGGGTTGTTATCGGGCTTGCAATTTATAATTCTACCATATTGGATGTGCATCTTCCATTGGCATGTTATAAGAAATTGTTTAATATGCCTGTTGATTTAGAAGATTTAGCAGTTTTTCGACCGGTGAGTTCACATTAGATATATTAAACACTTTACTTTTATTTTATGTTATTTTGAATCTATTATTGTAATATATTCGATTACATGAATTTACATTTATTGACAATTGACCTTTTTTTTATTTGTAAAGGCTTTTGCAAGAGGATTACGTCAACTCCTTACATTTGAAGGAGATGTCGAATCCATATTTTGCCGTGATTTTGTTGGAGAATATGAAGCGTTTGGTGAATTACAAAGGATACCTCTTGTTCCTGATGGTCAGAACCTACCTGTAACAAATGCTAATAGGGAAGGTAATAACCAAACATTTGTTATACAAGTTTCAATCACTTATTTTATCTTATAATTCTTATATAATTTTTTTATTATTAAACAGAATATGTTGACAGATACGTAAATTTTGTACTCAATGAGTCTATTGCAAAACAATTTGAACCATTTAAGCGTGGATTTAATAATGTTTGTGGTGGTAATGCTTTGTCTGTACGTATCCGTTTATTTATTCCTTTCCTTTTTTCAATAATGAATAATCCAATTGTTCATCATTTTCCTTAAAAAAATTTAAGCTCTTTCAACCTGAAGAAATCGAACTTTTGGTTCGAGGCGGTGAAGAACCGATAGAAATTGAGCAGTTACAAGCCGTAACTGTATATGAAAACTTCAACGAAGATGAAGATACAATTATAAACTTTTGGTCAATATTTAGAGATATGGATCCTCCAATGCAAAGAAAAATGTTGACATTTGTAACAGGAACTGATCGAATTCCAGCGACGGGATTGACAAACTTGGCATTTAAAATTTCATGTATTGGAGAGGATAGTGATAGGTTCATCCATAATAAAAAAA